CTTTTCTTATAGTCTTAGCAGAACTGCCTTTCTGAAACCAAGATGCCCACCCAATATTCCTTGGCAGTGTCCCAAAATGTCATGCAAAGATGAGGACTTTGATCTCTTTTAAAATACTGCCTGTGACTTAGATAAGTTTTTAGCCAACATGGGCTGGAAAGTACAGAGAGAAGGAGGGACAGACAAAAGAATAACAATGCTTGTGGAAGCAGGACTAAACCCTGCCTGATACTTGTCAGCCCATGGTTCCTGCTTTTTTTTTTTTTTGTCGCCAGTTGCTGACTTTTTCATGTTACCCTGTAATACCATTGGGATGGTCCACTCCTGGGCTGCTTTGCATTATATTCATACACTGCAATAGGAATTTACAGCACTTCTTTGCTTTATTCTTTTCTAAGTCCTTTTCCTCATAAGAAGAGTGGAGTGGCACTTTCAATGTGATATTGATGAAAATATGTAGCTGGTATTTGACTAAGCAGTTGGGGCACTTGATTGCACATCAATGTAGTTTGACTTCCTCAAATGTTCCTATTGAAGCAGAGGTAGCATTAACAGTGCTTTTTGTAATTTTGGTTCTTTAATTTACCAGTCTGTGAGCTTTCTTTTTGCCTTGTGTTTCTAAAGGCATAAAAATAACACTTCCAACTTGATTATTCATGTTCAGAGACGTGTCAGCCTGTGGTGTGAGTGAGGGTGCAGTGCTCTTGTGGCCCTGTCAGACAAAGGTATGTACACAGGAGATGTTGCAGAAAGCTTGTACAATGAAGGCGTTTGCTTTTCAGACACCAAACACGTGGTAAGTAAAGCAGCCTTTGTCTGTGTATGGCAGCAGTCACCTGGCTCATGGGCACCCAGGCTGAGCAGGAGCAACAAACCCCTGCTGCTGCCATTGTCCACCAAAATAACACTGAGCATGAAACAGCTGAGAAGTGTGTGGGTATTTTGAACAGGAGAGGGAAGCTAGAAGGGCATTTCTCACAAACCTGCAGGAGGTGAGGCTCTAAGAGTTGTGGTCTTCTGTGTTTGTCTCCATTGTGGATGTTACAGAATTTCTAGAACGCAGTTACGTAAGGTTTTTGGACAGAGTTTGGACTTTATGCTGTGGATTCTGGAGGCCAGCAGTTTCAGGCTTTAAAACTCTAAACTGTGTGGGTTTTGTCTGTTTCTCTGTGGAAACCCTAAGTTCTTTCAAAATAGGTCTCCGCTCTGTCATTGTTAAGTCAGACGTAATAACCAGCAATGGTTACATTCTGCATGGGAAGTATTTCCTGTCAGAGTGGGTCTGGGCTTGGTGAGGAGCTGAGGTGTCATGTTCTTCTGCACATGGTGATTCTTCACTTTAACTACAACAGCTTTTCCTTCTGTCTTATGGTGTTCTCCCTCTTCCCCTGCCACCAGGAAGGGAAGGATACTTTAATGGAGGTATGTCTTGTCAGCAGCAAATAACAATATTGCAGCAAGAAAAAGTTGTAGGGCTTTTCTACATAGGAGTTATTGAGGAGGAAAAAATAATATGGATTTAAAGCCAAATCACCCTTTGGAGATGACTTGGAGCAGATGAGATCATCGGATTTTCAAAAATGAGGTTGCCCTCCAGCTTTTCAGCTGCTTGTCATGGGTTCAGAAGAAATTGCTCTAATCCTGAACTGTAATCATCTCTTTATCAAAAGCTTCTACCAGAGCAAGGTCATTCATTGTTCTTCCTTAATTTCTGTCCTTCCTCAGGGTGCAGTTTTAATGTTTCTGTATTCAAAAGGTCAGAAGTTACTGTCTTACTCATTATTTGGTTCGGCAATGAATGCTTCAGCTGCTACTTGTCTAGAATGTCCAGGCTGGTTGGGAATTGCTGATGAGCTGACTAAAAAAGGTTGAAAACTCCTCCTCCTAGAATTGAAGTCTTGCTTTTGTTTTGCCATTTGTGCTTCATAATGAGTAAATTATGAGGTCTAAAAGAGTTTCTTAAATTATTTTTGTGCTCATTTCACTATACACAATGAAACTTCAAATTCATTCTCCCCCTTCCTTCCTAGTCTTATTGGAGATTCTATATATTTCTTGGATGTAGTTTATTATGAAAAGGAAAATCCGGAAAGCTGGTCACTTCTATTAATATTATTTTTAAGCTAATTTCAAAATCTGTTAGTGAAACAGCTTTGACTTGCTAACTAAAATCCCTTCTACTTAGCAGGGAATGTGAAAGTTTACAGGTTATTAGGGCATTGCCTTTTAATAAATTCCCTTGCATCACAGTCTTCTAATGTAGGCAGACTATAAAATTTTAACCTAGAGAGAATATTAACAAATAGGAGAAACCTCAACTATCAGAACTCCAAGCATCTCATCGTCAATGATTAGGAGCTTGTGCCTCATCCCCCTGTACTTGGTATTTATCTTGATTAATACAGATCAGTGCAGGGAATTTGGTAGGGAACTGTTAACATCCATATAGAACCAATTAAAACGTTTTATGAACAGGAGCTAAATACTAAATGACATATATTTGACTTCATTTGGGTTATAGAAAAAATGTAAATTGAAGGGCTTTGTTTGCCACAGTGCATATAATGTAGTCATTTTATATTTTATACAGTTGTTACATAGCATTTCTATTTGATTTGTTACTGTTTTATGTTGTTCACCAGTCTGCACAAGTATGTTGCTGTTAAGTGCAAGCATTTAGAATTCTTAAGTGAGAAATCTTAAGATTCATTAACACAACTCTAACTTAAATGAAAACTTTATTTTGTAATTAAGTGTGGAGTTTCCTTCACCATGTTTTTAAAATCACTTTTAGAAAATGTTTCTGACGTTTAGAATTGTCAATGAATTTTGGGGGGTGTTTTGTGGGCTTTGTTTTGTTTCCACAATGAAATTAATAGGATTTACTGTACCTCTTACCCAGAATACAAGGCAGGTGCCCACTAGAAAGGAGAGTTTTGTGTCAGCAATGACTCAGTGAACTTGAGTATAGAACAATACTCTTTGATAATATCAAAACACATCTCCATCTTCATATGGTATTCTGATTGTACAGATCAATTGAAAGTGTTTCTATCTTTATGATATCCTTAATTGCTGCGCCCAGTAGGATGTCAAAGGCTGATTTTATTGGGAAAAAAAAAAGTGTAGTGTTTCTGCATGTGCCTGTAATTGGTTTTTTTTTTCTATTCAGTTTTCTGTAGCTGGTTTCACCTTGTGCAAAAATGAAAAGTGTTATGTTTTCCTGCTTGAAACCAAATGCCTTGAGGATTTTGTTTCTTGATCTACTTCAATTATATGCTTATTATTTCACAAGACAAAAGCAAGGATTTTATCAGTTAGTCCTAGCACATACTTGTCTGAGTGAGTCAGTGTAGGGGGATGCACCACACATCATGACCTGTAATTCTCATTCTCTAATTTCAAGCTCATTCTCTCATTCTCTCATTCTCTAATTTCAAGCTGTTCTTGAGACTACTGTATCCACACATCCCTAGCAACATGGTCACTCAGGTTTTTTAATACCTCTTTTCCATGTGATCTTAGTGGTTGCCTTCTTTTCCAGATGAGTTCTTTTGCTTTTCATTGTTGTCAATCTAGAAGTTGTTCTTAAACTCACATAATAACAGTTAACTGTTTTTTTTTTCCGAATTTCTTCTGAGATTTAGTAATTTTAATGGAAAAGTGAAAGATAATTATTTTAAAATATATTTCTCTACCTCCTGCCACTAAAGTAGCAGCTTATCGTGTAGAATACAAAGAGGAGCTGATGGGAAAAATTGCTTCCAGGTAATAACTCAGGGCTCTGTTTTAGTTTAGTAATAATTCTTATTTAGATCCGGGTGTAACTCCAGCTGCTCAGCTATTGTACAGAACAGAGCAGTATTATCTGATGTATGCATCAGAATTCAGAGGTCCTCAGGCTGCTTTTTTGTACCTATAGTTCTCCCAGTTTTGTGAATTATTTGTGAAACAGTGTTCTGAGAGAACACACTTCTGTGGGTACCTTGTTCCTGAGAACATGGGGAGGAGATGCTGGGAGCAGAGCAAGGACTGCTCAGTAGGTACCTAAGTAGGGTTTGAAGAATGGTGAGGCATGAATGAGGGGTTTTTTATGGAGGGTTTGTTTGTTTTGTCAGGAACTACTGTGCCGAGTTTAGTTCCTCAATGAGGGCTTGAGATGAAGCAGTTTTATTTGGAGAGTGGAGACTTTATGATTCATCTTCTCATGTGGAATTTGTATCACTTCTATGTTCAAACAGGTCTCAAATCATGGAGTTTTAAGTGGTAGCTGTAATGTGACCTATGAATGTTCTTCTCAGCAAGCAGCAGCAACCCAGCTATGGACCAGGCTTGAAATGTCTGGGTTTCCAGCAGTTTTATTTATTCTTTCCTAAAGAAAAGCGACCGTTGATCACTATTTAGACATTGTGTGTGTCTGTAAATATGTAGGTATATTAAAAATGCATGTGTGTGTTCACATGTTTGTCTCTGTCTCTTCTAAGAGCAAAACAGGTCCACAGAAGGTAGAAAACCAGCAAAGAATTAATTTTGTCAAAACTGGGAAGGATTAGATAGGAAACCATGAGGAGATCTAGTCCAAATACCAAATCAGAGGAGTGAACAATACAGGAGGAAGGAGGGCACAGAAGAGTAATATATTGCATTGAAGAATAGGGGTTTTCTCCTCCTTAGCACATCTAATAGCTTTTCCTCCATCCATTATCTGTACCTGCTATGAGTAGGAGTTTGGAACCGTCTGACTGAGGGAAAGGTGTCAGGTGGGAAACTTCTTTTCTCTCAAATATCCAACACATAAAAGATGCAAGAACCACTTTGTTAAAGCTGTAGTTCTTGAGTGTGTGCTGTTTGGTAGACAGGGGCTACACACAGTATCTCATAGTGGTAGAAGGCAAATACAAAAATAGGAATGTTTTTAATACTGATTCCATCTGGCTGTGGAGGAGACATTGCTTGGATTCAAGCTGAGCATCTCTGATGTTTTTTGTCTTTCATGCCAGCTCTATGTGGCCACTGAAGCCATCCTCATCGCATTGGTGGGTGCAATTCCTCCCTACCACTGGGATCTCCAAGGGCTCTCAGCTAATCAGAGCCATGGCAACCATTCAGTGGGTGAGCAGGGAGCTTTTGGGGATTGGCTTCTGACTGCCAACAGCAGCGAGGTGCGTAGGCACGTGCACTTCGACCGCAGCTTCACATCCATAGTCTCTGAGGTAAGTCTGAGATGTGTTAGTAGGAAATCTTACTGAGATGGTTTTGGGGGTCTCCTTGTACTGCTTTTTCCTTGCATACTAATGCATGTTTTGATTAGCAAATGAAACGTGCTACCTCCACTTAGAGCCCGAGCTAGCTTTATATTGCTGTGCAGATGTTGACTAATATTCTGCTCCAAAACTTCCCACTTTTCTGTGTGGAGGTTACATATTGCATCCTGCAGCCTGGTTCCACATTTGAGCTGGAATCATGCATTCATTTTACTAATTTGCTCAAAATCCTTTATAGACTCTGAGCTCTTTCTGGCCATCCCCTTGCTGAGCTCCAGTGCATGTAGTGCATCCATCATGCAGTCAGCAGGACCTGGAGGGGAAGTGGTTCATGCAGTCTTTGCAACTCCAGATACAAGAACATGGGCAGTGGGGAGTCAGGTGGACAAAGCAGCTCCCTCACATTTGATTCCAAAACAAGCTTTGGCTTCATTGGCATGGCCTCTGTGTTTTTAAGTGGTTTCTTTTATGGTCTAGCCACAGTCCCTACAGGAATGATTCCAGACTCTGCACTGATGCGTGCAACACCTGCCCTTCCTGGGTCTGTCAATATCTGTTAATGTCAAATTTTTCTTTATAAGAGCTCTGAGTGCATTGGCTACAAGGCCCGAATGTAGAGCTGAACTGTGGAGTCCAGTGTAGTACCACTTGATAGGTTGTGGCTATTGTCCTGAGGTATTAATGCTATCCAAATTACTCCTGTAAAGCAGTTTATTGGTTAGGAGCATATTAATAAAAATGGCCAGCTTTGGAATAGTACCAAGCCATTGTGTACAAAAGGCATTGCTGCTTATTCTCGCAATAAAGAGGATATGAGTACTTATGATACCATTTAAATTAAAATTTTAGTGGATGGTGGATTTCTTAAGCATTATTTAAAACTCAGGAAGGCTTTTGAATTTTTTCTGGGGTTTTTCTCTTTTGGTTTTTTTTTTTAACTTGCCCAAGAATCTTTTACTCTCTTAAACTTTAGAAGTCAGACATGCTTGTAGAGCCTAGCATATGACACAGATCTTCTTACATTTTGGTTGCATAAATAAGAAATGTAGGTAAAGAACGAAGCCTGCTCGAGCAATAAAAAATCCTAAAAAATCTCCCCAGCCAAAAAACCCCAGCCCCAAGGCAGCTTGTGTAGAGTTAGCATATGTTTCAGTAGAGGACTATTTGAATAAAATCTTTGTACCTCTTTTGTTTCCTGTATTAAAGTACAATTTTTATTAATTTGTTGGCTGAAAATTTGATATATTTGGAGGTTATGTGCTAAGCACAAATATTTTGAGAGACAACATACATATCTGGAGAATATTTCACCACTAATTCATTATTAATCTAATTTCATGATTGACTGCAAAGAAGTTTTTTCCTGCATTTAAAGAGGGTGTGTCAGTGCTTAACGTTGTGGCATCATTGATAACATGACCATTACAAATTTACACTGAAAAATATTCTGATGTGAAAAGCTTGATTTGTGAATAAGCATATATGTAGCGTGTTTTTATGTAGAAGAGAAAAGCCTTTTGGGCTCTCTAAAGGGCATAGACATTGAGATAAATCTTGAGGAGAAATTTTGCTTTGCAACCAAATTATCCCTTAATCCCTGAATTATTCAGAACGCATTTAATGTCAACAGTTTTCATGTTGGCAGCTTTTAAAATTTTTATACCAAAAGTTAGGACATGATTCTTGTAGCTGTTATAAAACAAACTGACCATGTTATTTCAGGATAAAATTAATCTCATATGCAATTATTTTACAAATGTATTTTTCTGGGAATTGTTTTTGAAGTCTGCAGATGCTTCAAAAGCTGATTTATGGTCATGTGGTTGGTTTCAGTTGCATTTTGTCAGTCTTGGCACTTTATGGATGCATTTCCTACTATTATCAGTAACTACCTTCCTGTTATAGTAACAATTCAGAATGAAGTAGATATAGAAAGTAAGCAAGTTATTTTCTTGGAGTTTATGAATGATGTTTTGTCAGCATCCTAATCTTTGTGAGATTTAATTGCATGGCTCTGTTCTCATGATGAGGTAGTTTATAACTGAGCTTTGAAATAATATAAGCTTTGCTAGAAAGGATATTTAATGAGATTTTGGTAGAGGAAGAGAAGATTATGAGGAGAAGATTAGATAGAGTTATTGCAGGGATAATGACATAATCACCAGCTTACCAGCACAGGAAGAAGAGTTGGTTGTCACTAAAAGGAAACATTATCTCAAGGTGAAAGAGGGATAGAAAAAGAAAAGAAAGGAAGATGTGGAGTGTTTAGAATATGAAAGGAAATAACTTTTGAACATTGAGAGCATGGCATATTTTCATTCTGCACTTCTGTGGGGCAAATAATTTTGTCAGGTTCAGCTTGAGACATTAAGTCTGTAAGAATCCAACATTTCAAGATGTATTTGTATGGGAATTGAAGAGAACTGGAAATGATGAAGTATGCTGTAAAAAATATGAGTGTGTGCAGAAAACCTGACTAACCTGTCTAGTGCTACGAAAGTATTGCTCAGGGACAAGGCAATTCATAAAGAGGAGCTTGTGCAGGAATATCTTCAGACATAAACCACAAGTATTTTTTCACAATGTGTGTTCTGCACACTACAGTGACACATGTCAATAGGCAGAGCTGAATCTATTTACGTTAACAGTTTTACATAAAAGAAGGCAGAAGACGTGAAAGTGGGAGAAAGCTGCAAAAATTAGAGTATTGTGAGGAATCTGTTCTTGATTTCAGAACCAAAGACTGTATTTGATTTGGGAGAACTGCAGTTGTTAGTATCCTGTGAGGAGTTTGGGAGACAGCAGTGGGGACTAGTGACTTACTGAATATGATGCTTAGGAGATTTATGAAGAGTTCTATCTTCTTTAAAATTTGTAACATCCCTTCCAGCTGTTAACTGGTGGTGAACTGTTTGGATTCTGAATAATTTGCCTTTTTGCTGGTTTGTTGTTTCTGTTTTTTTCTTCCCCCTCCATCCAGTGGTTTTTAATAGGCAATGCATCGTACAAAGTCAGTGCTGCCAGTTCTTTCTACTTCAGTGGTGTGTTTGTTGGAGCCATCTCCTTTGGCCAGCTGTCGGATCGCTTCGGGAGGAAGAAGGTCTATCTCACAGGTAACCCTTGACAAAATGAGTGACATGAAGGTCATTGGCAATGGCCTGATGATCTGTGGCAGCCGCCCAATTTCTGCTGAGAGCTTGATATGCAGCTGTAAATCATGTGCTGTGATTTTGTTTCTTTTGGCATTCCAATATACTTGTGCCCTGGAAGTTGAGACAACAAATCAATATCTCACTGTTCAGTCACCATTTGGATTTCTGTGAGGTGTTCTGGGTTTGTGAGTTATGCTGTAAAAGGCTTTCACTTGTGCAATGTTGTGCTCTTGGGTTCTCTGCAAGTTGCAATTAGTATTTTTAGTAGATTTGTAACAGCATTCTTACATGTATAACCTGTTAGAAATTTGTTGCACCTTTTATCCCCTGTCTGCATTATTTAATTTTTATATATTTGTGATCCTCATTCTGTTTTGTCATAAGCTTTCTAACTGTCCCTGGAGCAAACAACATTTGAAACAGCATGTTTTGTGTATGTATAAAGTTGTGTGTCAATGCATGAGCATGTAGAGTTTAAAGAAATGTTTTATGCTTTTTGTTTTGCTTTGAAGGAACAGCACTTGTTCAAAGCACAAAAAGGTGGGCCTGTTCTGCATACAGACCTACCGTGTATTGTCCCCTGGTGATGTTTCTCTTCTCTAGTTTCTATACACTGGTCTCTCAAACTGAGTAGAGATACTTGGTCATATATTTAACCGGTGCCTTCTGTATCAGGGGTAAATATAAAACCATCTTTAACAGGAGTCAGACAATGGTTCTGAGTGTATAAAAATATTGTCTGCTATGAACTGAATTTAAAGGTTCAAACTGCAAACTGCGCATCAGAAAACCACTCCTGTGTCCCCTCCTTTTTGATATTGACTCTAGGTATTTAAATTTCTTTCCAAACCTGTGGTGGTGGTGTTGACTATGATGGCTTAGGACAGACAGCAGTGGGCATCAAGTAAAGATACCAGTAAGTGCTTCTGTTTCTTTAGGCACCCTTCTAAAATGAAACTTTTTGCTTTATTTTCCAGGTTTTGCACTTGACATCTTGTTTGCCATTGCAAATGGATTCTCACCCTCATATGAATTCTTTGCCGTTTCCCGATTCTTGGTAGGGGTGATGAATGGTGGGATGTCACTGGTAGCCTTTGTTCTACTGAATGAGTGTGTGGGTACAGCCTACTGGGCATTAGCAGGTAAACTGCCTTTATTGTCAGAATTCACAGATTTCAATCTCACACACCACTTGAGGCACACAAAGCAGTTGCAAATTTAACTCCACTTGAGCATATCTGTGATCACCGTCTTTGAGCACTGCTTGTTCAGTATGAGCCTTGGACAAGCATGGTAGATGACTTGGGGCCATTCAGACCTCTGCATCGCTTAAGTTGACAAAGATCCAGCTGAGACCTCTCCCATGAATGTTACCAGCTAAATACTCATCCAAGGTTCGTCACAACTGAGCTCTACTAATCAGAATGTTGGACTCTGCTAAACAGAGCCAAGTGTTTGTATGCTAGATATAGATTCTTTCCTTCCTGGCAGTTCTTAAAAAGAAATCAAAAGTGTTTTTATATCATAGGAGGATGAGAAAACTGTTGCTTATATATTATTTTAAAAAAAGTTGTACCATGTAGTAATTACCCTTAGTATTTAGAAGATACAGACACCCTTAACTGTCTTGATTTCTAGTGTTGGACCTGTCCTTCAGAAATGTGTGTAACCTGTACTGCTACTGATGCCTTGTCAAGGCTGACCTAGAACAGAGGCTAGATGGAGTTAAAGAATAAAGCAGGTATTTATTAAAAGGCGTCAGTGGATGCACCTTGGGCAGTACAAGAGCCCAGCCAGGGCTACACCCAAGATGAACCAAAATGGTCACAAAAATGGATGACTGGTCATGAGGTCTCTCACTTTTATAAGTTCTGATACATCTGCATCAGAACTTATAGCTTTATAGCCTTAGCTTATGAAGTCCCATCCTTCTTGTTTTTCTCTCTTCAGTTCATGTTGTTTTTGCTCCTGGGCCTGAAATTTGGATCAGTTGTCCTTGGTCCCAAGCTAGGAAAGGAATTGTTTTGTCTAACTATTCTGTGAAGAGTGCTTACCATTCCTTAATATGAAGTTGAACTGCACACTAAAGCAGTACAGAATCTGAAAAATTTGAAAGGCATCAGTAGAGCTCCAGGACCTGACTTAGAAAGCCCAAGAAGTGCTATGCTGAGACTGTTTTAAAATAGGGTGTCTTATAAATCGTGGAAGCCACAAATGAAGACTACATATTCCTAAAACTACCAGTTTTTCAATGTTTTGTAGTATTTATTTTTACACATAGAAAGGTACATACTTATGCTGCATACATACAAATACTTATATTTGGAATGAGAAGACTTCATTGTTCACAGGGCTTTGTTGGGTGTGGAATATGTAGAAGAACACTTTTGGGGCTTTTATTGATTTTATTGCAATTAGATATAATACTTCTGCTCTACATGAATGAAGGACAGGGTGTTCTTTGTTCAAAGAGCTGTGGTTCTTTCTGAATTGCTGAATGATTTTTTGCTGGTGAAGAGTTAGTTCTTGTCTGATGCCATTTGTTGTGATTTACTAATGCTTCTAACAGAAGTGATAATGTGTTGTTTTTAATTGCATGTTAGGTTCTATTGGTGGCTTGTTCTTTGCTGTTGGAATTGCCCAGTATGCTTTATTAGGGTATTTCATCCGTTCCTGGAGGACTCTGGCTGTTGTGGTTAATCTGGAAGGAACAGTCGTCTTTCTCCTCTCTCTGTAAGTTGTTCAAACTGAGTTTCATAAAGAAAGATGTCAAAAAAACCACCAAAAAACATCAAACAAACAGAGTACCCAAACTATTAAGTCAGGTTGCCTTTCTAGGATGGCATGAAATGGTGTAAATAAGGTATTTCTCTCAACTTGTACAACCCCTCCCCCCACATGGTCTGTGGTTTCTTTGAAAGTAGTGCTGCAATGTCTGAGCCTGTAAGTCTCCACTGTACTGTGTGTACAGTATTGGTGTAGATGGGAGCAGTCTCCAGGGTGGAAGAGAAGCACATCCTGTTCTTTAGCTTGTGTAGGTAGATGACCTAAACTGGTGTGCTATGAGGCACTATGAGTACATGATAAAAGATACAGGGATGGTTTCATATTTATGTGATAACATGATGTTTCTCTTGGGTTTACACAGAGGGAACTGCATCAGAATTGCTTGCCTGTCCAGTCCTAAAAGTGACATGAAAAAGAAAAAATGGGCAGCTCAGTTTAATTTTTCAAATGTGGTCTCTTTGGAGATAGTAGGGGCTTTGTGAATTTCAGCAATGAAAGCTCTGTGATGCAATGTCGTCTTTTCTTACATGCCTTTGATATCTAAATCTCAGTAAATAAAAGAGCAAAATTACTTTAGCTGCTGTTTAAACTAGAGGTCTTTTCCTTTCCAATGTCTATTTCACTTCAATGACTCCTTGAATAAAGCTTTTGCTCCTCAAAAAATCCACACAACCCTTTCAAAGGAAGCATCAGAACTCAGGAAAGGGTCCTTGAGGCTGTTCATGGGGTGAAAGGCAGAAATGACACTTGGGATATTTCAAACCTATGTGGTGATAGGCATCCTTGGGGAAAAAAAATTAACTTTCAGATTGGTAGGTAGAACTTTTTGAAGTGAGTTATGCCTGTGATTTCAGAGCTGTGCTCAGAGGCCTATCTTTTCTGTAAGAAAAGGTTTTTTTTAAATTCCAAATTTCCCACTGCCTCCCTGCCACATTGCTTAAAAATTACCCAATGTAGAAAATACTATAAGATTTTTATCCTGAGCAAGAAAATACGTTCCTTTCTTATCACTTTTTTTGGTGAAAACATAGAATCACATTCTTTTAAACTCAGAGGAAAAATATAATTTTTGGTCTGAGGCAAAAAACTTAGAAAGCTTCTGGCCAAAGGCTAAAGTTTAAATTAGTTCTGGAAACCTGAAAATAATAGGTGTGTGTTGTAGACATTGTTGGAGTTACATACCTGTCAAGTGAGGAACATGACCTTTGCACAGTTTCTGCCTTTTTGTCTGCAGGAGAGAATTTGGCAAAAAGCGGAAAAATAAGAAGTTGAAGTTGATCTTGTAGAAAATGTAAACTGGAACTAATAGCTCTTACAAAAGCATCCTGTGTTACTTGTAGTAATCTGTGCCTCTTTAATTCTGAATTCTCCAAAGACAGAATCCTAATCATACTGTAACTAGTAATGTTCTTTCTATGTGTGTATATATGTATATACTCCGTGTAATTTCTTGTTATAGAAATTATGTACGGCTTATGTTTCCTTTCAACGTGCTTTGTTTCTGTTTCAGTGCATGAATTTTATACCTGAAGGGTTGTTTGAAAACTCATTATTATACTGAAGTGCATTTCAGCCTTATTCCTTTAGACAAGTCCAGCCTCCCAGAGAAGAAAACCCCTAAAGGTGTCTGTGTGTGTGTTTCAGATTCATTCCTGAGTCCCCCCGCTGGCTCTATTCCCAGGGCCGTCTGAACGAGGCAGAAGATGCCCTCTACCTCATTGCAAAGAGGAACCGCAAGCAGAAATGCACTTTTTCATTGAAACTCCCTGCAGAGAGGAGCTCCAGAGAGGCTGGCAGCTTTCTGGACCTGTTCCGATACAGGATTCTCCTGGGACGCACCTTGATCATGATGTTCACCTGGTACTGGAAATACTTTGTGGGCCCAGCTGTGCTACTGCGACTTCTTTAAGTCTTTGAGAGAGTGTGGTGCTGAGAATTGCCTCATCCTACAGATTGTTAGGGACACTGTACCTAAAAAGAATCCTTTCTAGTATTTAAGTATCTATTACAGTATTTCCTTAATACATTTCTAGCAAAAAGCCATTTTTTACAGTCCAGTTCTGAGGTATTTTATCTCTACATTTCTCTCTTGTGTTTTGAGTCTCAAAATAGTTGAGTACTCTCCCTTTTGTTCTGACCCACAAGGCTGCTGAGATTAGTCTCAGTGTCCTCCTCTTAGGCCCAGAGCTGTCAGTATCTCTTCACATGGATTATTCCTTGTTTTGTGTGTAAGGAGCCCATTAGCAGGTGGGTAGCCTACCTTGTCTAATGAGTAGACATTGTAGGCAACAGTTCTTAAGAAAAAGTGCTGGCTGTTGCTGCAGTGAGGGGCAGAAGCCCATGATGCTCCCCCTCTGGTTATTAGCAAAAATTTAACTTCAGAAGTGCCTGTTTTTTTTCAGATATCTTGCTAGCCCTGAGGTCTTTCACTGCTTCTTTAAAAAAGCCATGTGTGACATAGTATGGAGGTCCCTGGGCATTACTGCTCATGTAGTTGCTTTTATAATGCATATATTTGGGAAAGATGTATCAATTAAGAATAAAACAAATGGTTTTGTCAGCATACAGCACTGAACTCTTTTCATGTTACTTTTCCAAGTGCTTACTTCAGAATAAATAGTTGATTATTCTCTTCCTTAAATGAGAATTGCTGATTTGCTGCAGAATGAATTAGTGACCAGTTTCTTTCCTCTCTGTAAAGACAACTCCCTTTACAGGGGTTGACATGACGATAGGGTTACAAAAGAAAAGTTAAACAGAGTTGGAGAATGAATGAATAAAGTGGGACCCAGGTGTAGAAATTAAAAGAAAGTTGAAGTGTTGTTTGAATTGCTTGAGAAACTTGGTTTAGACACAACTGGGAAAAGTGTGGATGAAAGTGTAACCTGATAAAAACAAAAGGGACAAGGACATTTCTGAAGTTAAATAATATAGTCATGATTGTATTTTGACTTTATACTAGTTTGTGCACATTGTTCCTAAGTGTAGTCTCAAGTTTTACTCAGTAGAAAGTCAGGAATTGGGTCTTTGCTGAGACAAAATGGTTTATTTGCCTAGAAGGCATCATACACTTACAGAGAAACATTTTAGACCTATTTGCTGAAACACTAAATATAGTTTATAGTGTATTGTGCCAGACCAGTGTTTCGATTTGGCAGGCAAAGTGTCAGCTCTGATTTCACTTTTTTTTTTTTCTCTTGTCTTTTGCAGGTTTGTGTGCAGCTTAGTTTACTACGGTCTTACGCTTAATGTGGGTGACTTAGGTGGAAGCATTTATGCCAATTTAGCCCTGTCAGGCTTGATAGAAATCCCAGCGTACCCAATCTGTATTTACTTGATTAACCAAAAATGGTAAGTATGGAATTTATTTACCAATTCAGGATTTCCTTGTAACTTTTCTCAAAGACAGATTTTCTGTGTATCACACCTCCTAGTTTGTATCTGTTGCATGGGGCTTCCTGCTTCAATGTGAAAGTGCCATTGATTTATCTCTATTCCAAATAGCAACTTAACTTGTTTTCAGTCGCTCACCTCGTGGTGAGCCATCCCTGTGCTGTGGGTGGGGTGATGTAGCTGGGAGGAACCTGTGCTGCCTCCAGGCGAACACTAGATAGCATCCTTCCCACCGCTGCCCCGAGATCCCATCCTCACTTCTGGGACAGAGCTATCCCCACTCCACTCTGCTCAGGCCGTCTTGTGGCTCAGGACCTGCAATAGAAGTACTTCTGTGAGCTACTGTGAGAGCAGAGCAGATACTCAGCCTTTTCCTGAGCCAGGATGCTCTGGACAATGTGTCTCATTTTTTGTAGAATTACCTCCCAGTCTCTGCTCTGTGTCTCTTGAGGAGGTTTATAAATGTCACACACAGCGGGAAGCAACTCCAAACCCTAGAAATTGTCAGTCGCTGTATAAAGCTGGTGCTCATTTTGTTAAGTGTGCAGCAGAAGCTTGTTTAAAAACAGTGTGAGAGGAAGCGTTGGTGGAAGATGGAATTCAGAATTCCCAGCTGCAAAGAAAGAGTCAGTGTGAATTCAGAGGGTTCATTACTCTGCAACCCACAAACCTAATGCAGAATATAAACCTTTGTTATCTTTGTGTATCAGGTTTGGTCGGAAACGAACGTTGAGTGCATTTTTATTCCTGGGAGGATTGGCTTGTCTTATTGTCATGTTTCTGCCTAAGAAGAGAGGTAAGTAGTTTTTTGTTTCTGAAGTATATGATAAGAACTGGTAAAAGCAGCATCCTACAGCATAACAATTACAATTTGATGGCTGCTGGAAGATTAGGCTCATACCACACGTGAGTCTCAATTTTTGAAGCCAGAGAAGCCAACTCATTAGAAAAGAAAAGCATTAGCCTCCCTAAGACCTTAAAGAAAACTTATTAGTAAGGTTTGGATTTGAATTTTTGCCTTTGGATTCTGCCCTTTACTTCTGTTCACATCAGTTGCTCCTTTCCAGTGTTTTTGACATCATCCCAATGAATGATATTTCTTCTGGTATCTCCAATAGCTAGATGATAGGTTAGTGTAAGTAGTACCCATGCAACTTGGATGTATCTCTCCGAGTGGAAGATCAATGTCAGAAGATCTGAAGAACTGAGTGATGGAGCAAGTTTCCATCTTTCCCACACTGCTCTATAATATTCAAAAGTAGTGTGGTTGTGGTAATAGTAATGTGGCTACACAACTTACAGCTCAGGAGAGCTCTGATTTGCCTGTTAAAAGCAAATAGGCACTGGCTGTTCTGACAAACTCAGCTGGATGGGAAATTTAGTGTGATTCTTCACAGCATCTTTCTTTCAAAGTAGTAATGTTAGAAGAATATTATCATACTATAGAAATGACAATGAATAAGACTCCTGTTAAAAAAAATATGCTCACTTTTGAAAAATGTATCTGTTATACTCTTCTTCAACTTTCTGATAGAACTAATTTAGTATTTAATTAATGGTAGACCGAAAATACTGAGTTGTAGCTTCAGCTTTTAGATTCTTCTCTAGATTCCTTTTCACACCATACTATTGTGTGATTGAAATAATTAGAGGTGCATTGGAGTGCTCAAAAGCCTTACAAGGATCACATTTTCTCTCAGATACTGGAGTGTTTGCAGTGGTGAATAGTCGCTCTCTGTCTTTGCTGGGAAAACTGACAATCAGTGCTGCATTTAATATTGTCTACATCTACACATCAGAACTTTATCCCACAGTCATAAGGTAACACAAGTTAATTTTAAGTCTTCATTTTTCTCATTCTCTTACATTATCATATTTTATTTATCTTATTTTTTAATATTAACTATAGTTTTTAATTTGATTTTTTCAGTTACATATAATGGTTAGATGTAGTTATACATTTGAAATTTTCCCCCTTATCTTCTCACTCCCTCTTCCATCAAGTTTGCAGTGTTCTCTTCAGACTAACCATATTTTTATGTGACAGTTAAATAGACCTTTAGCTGCTTGGCCTGCTTACAGCTCCCCTTCTACTAATGAGGATAACTATAGCACTGCAGATACTTCTCTTAATGAGTGCTTTATAAAACCAGACAACTGTATCATCATATGTGCTTATCCAGGAACATTGAAGATGACTGGTCAATAAACTTTCTGGAAGTAACTTGATGCTTCACAGGCTGTGTGTGGGCAGTGGTAGGGGAAGAAACACCCCCTGCTTGTGCTGACAGAGGAGACAAAAGCTTCTGCCATATGGGTGCATGTGATGGTAGCCACCAGTGAAACTATACTATGGTATTTTTCATGAGTGGGTAAATCTGATGATAAGTAGGATTTGAATAAATGAATTCAGCCAGAGTTTCAAACACAGGCAAGATGCTTGAACTGAAATCACACTTGTTTTGCCTCTTTGTGTATGTAAAAATTCTGACTGTAAAGGGGATTTTTGCTTGATTTTAATAGCAAAAAACATGTTTCATTCCTGTCTTGGGATGCTTTCAGTTACATTTGACATTTCTTTGCCAGTTAATGTGCTCAGGGTCATGACTGATAAGTCTTTTTCCTCCTTGCTCAGTAACACTTTTCAAAAGATTAATAATTTTTGGTTTTTTTCATAGGAATGTTGGAATGGGTGCCTGCTCCATGTTTTCCCGTGTTGGTGGAATCATTGCACCTTTTGTCCCTTCATTGGTTTGTCTGAACTTCTGTTATGTATATTTTTATTTTGTGGCTCTGGTCTATCAGAGGCATACAGAGATGGGAATATTTGGGATAAATTTCATTTATAAATTAAGATACATAAATTGCCTATCTTAACAGTATCATGGTAGGCCAAAAGCATTGCAGTATCTTCTATTTGATTAGACAAAACCTCAGCATTATTTAATTTAGAAGGTAGTTTAGCTCTGTAGGAATTTTGGACCTTAAAATATAATAGTCTAGTGGACCTTAAAATATAATAATTTCAAATCATCAAGATGGTGATACCAAATTTTAAACCCTGCACAACCAATAGCTGAAGACCCACGTGGTTAAAAGATCTACTGCATCAAAATTAGCCATATGGGCTCCATAACTCATATTTTTGAGAAAAAGTTTGTTTTGATGCCAGTGCACTTCATTAAATATCCATGGGTTATAAGTATCAGCAAAGCAGTTCATCTTTCAGTAAATTATGGTGATGTGGAGATCTGATACACCCTCAAGGCAAAGAAAGATTCTGAAGAACAAAACGGGGGGACGACACCATTACTTTCCTGTGCTTAAAGTGTTACATGTATGCAGGTAAAAAGTGTGCCAGTTTTTCCCAGCTGTTTGCTGAGGCCCAGTGACAATTCCTTTAATGTGACAGATTTCATCTCAGGTAATTTTCCTCTCTGCCATTTGCCATTTTACGTGTGAGGCAGAAGGTTAGGAAAAGGGCAAGTGAGCACAGGGAGCCTTTTAATCTGCAGAAGGAAGCACTGGGCAGGTGAGAGCGTGAGCACCTCTGGGGAGCAATAGGCAAAGCCAAGACTGCTGCCAATCTACCAGGTGGATTTAATAGGCAGCTTTTATGTAGCAGTTGGGGCATTCATTATATTGTGTCTGCCAGAGATTTGATACTGCATGAGACACAAATCTTGGATCATTATGTTTGAAGGGGTTCCATAAAAATGAAAGTAGTTCTGGTTACATAACAAATGAACCCTCATTTGAGAAAATAATAATTTTTGTGCTTCATAATTTCTTCCAGTGTTTTAAAGAATTTTCACTGTCTGGAGAGCTCATAATAGTAAAAATAGAAGTTAACTGCTGAGATAAGAGATGAAATGTTGGTCTTTTATTTGATCACAGCCTGTTATTTTTCTCAATTTAGAATTGCTCTCTACAGTGTGAGTTTTTGAAACAAACAGCTAAACTCTTTCCCTGTTTTAATAAGCCTTCTTTACTGTGAGAACAGTGACAGGCATCAGAAGAGGAGTATTAACTTTGCTTGGGCTGTCACAGGTGATGCCAGGAATGCCAAAGCTCAGCTGAAGTTAAAACTAGCAATGAGCATAAGGGATTCTGTCAGCTAGAAGAAATTAGCCTGTTAATGAATGGGAGGGGCATCCCGGTGGTAGGTGACGTGGAATAAGCTGAAATACTTGTGCTTCAGTCTGGAGAGACAAAGCTTCTCTCCAATACTCTGCCTGTCAGCACAGCTGAGGAAGCAGAAGGCCAGCAAACAGTAGGAGGAGCAATAGGTTCAAGAACACTTACTGCTGAAAGCTTTCCATTCCATGGGGTGAGATGCCATCAGAATGGTTGTGATAGTGGGGCAAGTGTTCATCATCTGTGATAAACCACTATTGCAGTGAAGGATTGCTGGTAACTGTGGGAGGTAAAAAGCTAATCCTGTGTGTCTCTTCAATATCAGAAGTGGAAAGTATTACAGGCTGAGCACCTCTAACTCAGTCTGTGAGAGGATTGAGACATGACCTCCCAGAATCTGTTTATAAGCATGTGAAAGCAAGGAAGGTAATCAGGATCAGTGAACATGGATTTATTAAGGACAATTCCTTTTCAGCCAGCTTGATTTAATAGTCAGCCATTTCATCATGGATGAGCAAAGGGAGGAGAGCAGAGAAGGCTTTTGACACTATCCCATGTTGTTAGCATATGTTTATCACAAGTTTTGGCTTGGGGGTTAGATAAGAAATTTGGAAAATAATGTTCTTGAGAGGCTTAATGCAGCCTGGAACAATCTACTTGGAGGGGAAATCTCCATCCTTGGAGTTTTTTTGCTATTTGATTATGTGAAGCAGTGATTGACCTTATCTAATTGATGCTGTAGTTGTGCTTAGAGTAGGTGGTTGGCCAAGATGACCTCAAGAGATCTCCAGTCAGCACTTCTGTGTTTCTGGGGTATCTATTCCCTTCTACAAAAGAATGTTGCATTTGTTAAAAAGTACGTATGTTAGAGGCAAGAACTGAGTTCAAATTCAGCAGGCATTTCTTTTAAAGTTCATGACAAAAATCTGTGGGGTTCTAATAGTATTGACAAGATACAATTGACAATACTGGTAAGAAACCCAAACAAACAAAAAACCCCACGACAGATGGATTGGTGAATTTGTACTAAATATGAACACAAACACTGCCAGAGGGAATGGTTGTAAAGGCTAGGTCCTTTAATAACGCAACATGAACTACAAGGAACCAATCTCAACCTAACTCTGTTATTTTTTCCAGAAATCTGTACAGTGGTCTCTGCCTTACATTGTGTTTGGAGCAACTGGTCTGTTGTCTGGGCTCTTAAGCTTACTGCTGCCAGAGACCTTAAACAGCCCCTTGCTAGAAACTATTTCAGACCTGCAGGTGTGCTCCTACTGGAGGCTGGGTGATGAAGCCATGTCACTGCAAGCCCTAGATGGCTCACAGGTATACTGATTTTTTTCTAATACTTTTCTGTTGTGTTTATTTCGGCTGTCAACTTGAATTTGTCACTCTAAATAGATTAAGATAATGATCTTTGGCCTGTGGAGGATAGGCCCCAAGGAGAAGATAGCGTAGCAACCCTACCATCATGTCTGAAATGCTTTCTGGAAATGCAGGCTGAAATATAGCAGGATTAATTCATCCCTTCAAGGCCACAAGCTTACAACATTTCCCTTTGGGATAAAGTGATGTCTGTGCATCTCTGATCTCTAAGACTGATTTCTACAGTGTGCTTCAGCCAAAGCTGGACACTGGAGCTTGAGAAACCTGAGGTGGTAACAAAACCAGAAGCCTGTTTGTGAAGGGCTGCTCTCAAAGGCAGCACACTACTTCTGACTTGCCCAGTCTGTTCTAGACAGGCTCTGAATGGGTTAAAGCCAGACTAACCTCTGAGATCTCTCCCACTATTGTCTCTGGGAAATGAGATTCATTGAAAACATTGGAACTACAGAACTCCCGGGTATAAGCATAAATAAATGTGGCAGCAGGATGTTTTTCAATGAGGTTTCCTTGAATTGTGTTTTTCAGATCACTTTATTTTGTTAAACTCCTGGGCACCTCTCTGGGTGTCTGTATCTTCCACTCATGTGGAGGTTTTTTGACATGGTTAATTCTCTGTGAATGAAGTGAGATTAGAAAGAAGCTAGAGAGCTGGGAGTGGGTGTTTGAATCTCGGTAAAGTTTTAAAGTTTAAATCCTGGTCCCAAAACTTTAAGTATGGAGGGACTTACAGAAATAGAATAAGTGGTCAGAAGATATGAAGGGAAATTTGTAACAAATAATGTCAGTTGCCCCATTAGGCTGAGATGAGACGGGATCCTTTTAACACCTTTACTTTCATTTGAATAGTTATTGGTCAATCATTCTGACATTCACAGGTAGTCATATTTATTTTCACAGAAACCAAGTACTTCTAGAACAGAACATTTGCTTCCTATCAGAAGCTTCAGTAGATTGCCTTGTTTACCAAGTTTAGTTGTAATAGTTCTTGATAGGACAGCACAGTTTAGTGACAAAAACCTTGAAGAAAGGCTGAAAAAGACAGCCCTGTAACTGTTAATTTTATACTTTAGGTACTTTACATGCTTATTTTATAAACATTTTCAACTATAATGGATAATGTGTTGTGGCACCACATTCTTGCTGACTACACAAATCCATCATATACGTTTACATCAGCTGTTATTTTGGTAATTACATGATTATTAGGTCTTAATTGTGCAGGTGGTTTACCAACGAAAGCAATTTTTGTAAGCAGTGCAGGTGTTCCAGCTTACAGGTGGGAAGTCACATTTATATTTTCTTCTTTAACCAACTACAGTCAGTATTACCCTTTGAGGTGACAAATATTGTCTGTTAGTATTCCCACAAATTGGTTAGCTTATGTCCTCTCAGGTTTAAATCTTCGCTTGTCCTTCTGTAGGCTTAAAAATCCCAACCTGAACAGGACCCACAAAGGGGGGTGTTGTTCCAAATGGTTTTCAGGAACAGTTTGCCCAGCTGGATTAAAATTACTGAATCTGAATGAAAAAGTCATTGGTTCAGGCCTTAACTAATCCTGTAACTTCAGTGAAGTTATATCTGGAACGCATTAGGGATTTATTTTAAAGCTCACAAAGAAAGTGCTGATAAAATGGAAAGCTGTTAAACATTAACCCTATTTGACAAGGCCATGAGAGTCTTATGAAACTACTGTGAGAAAGATTTAGAATTTATTTGGCATACCCTGAATTCCCCCTTGGAATCCATTGTCCTTTTGTACCATTTTCAAGATAACATGTGTTCTGATTGCCCAGAACAGAGGTTTTGTTCCTGTTAACATACATGAATGTGATATTCAAGTTGGACAGCATCCAGTAATAGCCTGACTTTCCTCAAATAGTTTTAGAAGTCCGGGAAAAAAAAAAGCCTAACATGATTCCCTTTACATCTTCTGACAGGTTGTAGTGCTCAAACTGCTTGAAATTCCTTTGCAGTTAACACACTTTGCTGTAGCAAAGCTCCTCTGAAGGGAGATCTAAAGCTACAGATTTTGCTTGCATGGTACTGTCAGTCAGGAGCACTATTTCCATTTCTCTATTTTTCATCCTCACACTTTTCTTAGTATATGACTAGGCAGGCAGAGGTCTTAGGATGGATGCAAGCATACTGGGAAAAAATCCTAAATAATCAAATTAGATGGAGTTTATACTATCAGGAGAACCTTTTTAACTGGAATCATTTGTGTCAGTTCCATGGAAAAATGCTACACTGGCCAAATAAAAATCAACTAGCTGTAATAGCTGACTTTATTTTGGGTATGTGTATAAATTATGTTGTGAAAAGGATTCTGACTGGAGTAGGTATGCCTATAATACGGATTTAACCTCTGAACATACAGCATGGTAATGATTTTCCCTTTTCCGTAACACTTTCATTTAGTATTGCAAGGGGATCTTTTTAATTCAACTTGCACAGTAAAATGCCTGTGCTACCCAAGGAAAAGCATTAATTGTGGATGGAGAAGCTTTACCTAAAGAAGTAATATGTGTGTTCTGAGCTGTGGTGAGCTACTGTGTTTCCAGTAGCTCTCCACAGAGTAGGAATTAGACTAAATTTGAGAAAGTTTAGTAGATTACCATCAGAACCACTCTAGCCAGTCTCTCCTGCATATATTCTCTAGGGTGCTGGTGGAGCAGAGAAACTCCATCCACTACAACCTCATGTCTTTTAAAGTTACTTGGAGGAACCAAGGATTTGAACCTGAATTCATATGTCTTCTACAAAGTTTTAATACAGTGGTTTGACCTGTGTTTTCTTACCTTTTCTATACCAGCATTCCATAGAAGTGTAATGGTTCATGCTCTGTATGTTGAGATTGATTTAGTGGCTTCAGTCTAACAAACTACTTTCTTTCTGCTTCTAGTCTGGAGACAAAGACAGCTCTACAGGGAGTGGAAGTGAAGATGAGGAGTTCTATGATGCTGATGAAGAGACTCACATGATCAAGTAATGAAAAGAAGACACACTGGCCTATTTTATGCCTCTTCTTGCCCAGTCAGTCCAGCTGTATGACAAGTACCGGGGACCTTGCTTGCCAGGCAATGTAATTGGGCAAGTGCCTGTGTTTTTCTCTACTTGGAGAGGGATTTGGGTACTGTTCAGACTGATGACACCACTGATGCTCTCCATACAAGGCAGCCATTCCAATTCTTGTGGTTCAGAATGACAGTGCATGGACTGCATTTGAAGCCAGGTGAGACAGCAAGAGTGGGATGATGTATTTCAGAAGCCCAGGAAATAACCTAGGCTTAGACAGATTTGGACAGATCATCAGTGCATGTGTTAGTGTTTTATTTTCAAGGTGGTGGATTTTATTTCAGTACAAATTGGTAAACTTTGAAACAACCACTGTATTTTTCCACAAGGGGGAAAGTGGTCAGAGAATCTGCTGTGTGCTACTCCAGTGGGAACAAATTGCTGAAATTGTATGTTAAAATGGCTTTTTCATAGTCAGTAGAGGAGAGGCAGCTGTGAACAAAAGGTTTCTCTGTGTGCACACCTGTGCAGAGTTACAGGTGCAGCTGGTTAGTCATGAGCTGGGCTTTACCTTAGTGATAATGGAAGGCTGGGAGGAAGGACTACACAAAAGAGCAGCCACAGAGCCTGCAAGCATAAGGAACGTTACTGAATTTTTTCCTTCTTTTCATACACAAAGCTTTGTCTTGGTCTGTCTTGTGCATATGTTTGCCACATGTTCCCCACATCTCAGCATGGCTGTTTATAGCTTTGCCTACTTTTACCTTGTCCTTACTTTGCCATAACTATTGAAGCTCAGCAACTTTTCTGTGGAGTGAAATAATTCTGTGATGGATATAATTTCCTGGGTGCAACAAAGGTGAGGTATTTCTCACATACCGTGTGTGTGGTGTGATAGAATGTATAGCTTGCTTTTCTGGACCTATTTGGGTCTTTGTTTCTGGAAAAGGCTTAACTCTGAAGTGGTAAGAGGAACTGTGCGGTGCTGTTATATTTTGGGTGCTATTTTCAGGAAGTTGCTAGTGTTTGTTTTAAAATCTTGTGTGTAGCTAAGGTTTTCATTTAAAAAGTCAGCAAATCTCTTTGGACCTTTTTGGTTACTTGATGTTTTTTAACCAATGCTTGCTCAAGCACTTGGTTACTTGACCTTGTTAAGGAAAACATCTTAACTTCCCTGTTTCACTGAACTTTCTGTAAGTGCTTCATTAGAGGGATATGGAATCCTGAAGTATGAAACATGAACATGTGGAACATTCCAGCTACAAAAATGAGGCCTTACAAAGATTCAGTTTTCTTGACATTGTCATCTTCATCCTCTAACCTGTGGCTTTCTCTGTTAAGATTGGTTTCCATACAACATTAGTCTTCCTACTTGGAGTTCCTAGCAAAGTGGCACACAATGGCAGTAAATATATTTTCAGGCTCATGAGTCATTTTTGCATATCTTAGAATTAAAAAAGGTGGGTCTAAGAATATCAAAATGTCTGCTGAATATTTCCTTGTTAAAGTGGGAAGTTCCTTTACTCTGCAAGGAAGTGAAAGTAAGCAGCATCTGAAGTTTGCAGCTAGCTGCTTGAACTTTGTTCACTGGGAACTGTAATACAAAGAGCAAAGTGCAGCTGCCCTGGTTGGTGCAGAGAGCAGCCCAGAGTCTGCAGTTTCACACATGCAGCATTCTAGTTGATCCAGGTGCTGACTCTGAGCTAAGGTGGAAACCAGTCCCTATGAACAGTCGCTCAATATTGTTGTGATTTTTGCCTGTATTATGAGTGTCACTGGAAGAATTCTCACTCATGATCTTCACTCCCCCCCCCCAGCTGTTGAGTAGTTGTTGCAGATGTGGCACTTTTTAACCCAGCTGAGTAGTCTTTCTGCCTTATTTAGCCCTTTTGTGTATAAGAAAATTTGTACGAAATAAGGTACTTGGAAAAGTTTAAGCTATTCAAATATTTTAAAATTTTTTACTGGTACTTTAATTTATGGACAGCTGTGAAAATGACTTTTTATGGCTGATGGCAGACAGCTGTAAGCCTGGCAGTAATAACACGTTGCCAAGAACCAACAGTTGTTTTAGGTGTGTGTTGCCTCTGTCCTTCTTTGGATGTTGGGTGGAATAAGTCAGGAGCTGTCGTTATCTGCTCCTGGCAACCTTGAGTAATGCCACAAGACCCTCATTCATCAACAGTAGGATGCTGTAATGGTTCAGGTGGAAAAGATTGCTCTTTGCAGGATGTGAGCTGGATTTTGTGAGTCTTCAACTAAAGTCTTCTTGTTAGTCTTCAATTAAAAATTAAATTTACCTCTCCACTCATGCACTTTTGTATCATTGGTATACATATGTAAAATAGCAAAAACAAGAGTGAAGACAAAACTAGCAATTTTATTTGCACAGGAATTTTTGCTCTTTTTTTAACCTTAAATCTGTCCCATGTTTTCCCCTTTAAAATTTTAAAGGGAATATTTTAAAATGAATTTTAAGTCTTCCGTTGTTGCTTTCCCATATCAGTTAATTCAGAAAATGTAGAGGAGAGAATCCCTACAGGAGGTGCTCAGCAGTGTAGCATCAGACTTTGTTCTCCAGCTTTCTCCTTCTGAAGTTCAAATTCATTAGGTGCATTAAGTTTCTCCTCTGAGGCTGTTCATTTTCTGTATGAGTTGGCCTTCTGGTACAGAAACCTATTGGATCACTTTTCTTCTTACCCATGATATGTAATGCTTTACAATATTGAGATAGTTGTACCTCAGTGTCTGGGTAGTAAGTTTGCCATGAGGAGCTACTGGAAAGTAGAACACTGGGTACATTGGTTTACTGCATATTGTAGTGCTAGGAGTCTGAGACCAAGGTTCTTGCTATAGTTTAGTGCAGAATAATAATCTTTTGCCATGTTTTTTGCTAGAGTAGCCAATACTGTTAGCGATTTTCATGTTGGGTAGGTACTAAGATACTACATTTCCCAAAATGATTTTTTTTCTCTGGATTCCCTTGGCTGTGATTTTTTCCTTTTTTTTGTTGTTTTTTTTTTCCTCTCTTCTTTTTCCAGGTAGCTGACTTAGTGGGATTATGCTAGAGAGAAGAGAGCCTTTTCCATGGTGCTGATTAGTCAGGTCTCAGCAGAATCCCAAACATACTTCACCTACCTGAGGAGCTCACAAGTGATAAGTGAATACAGCTAAGAGTGAAGGAGAGTGACAGGTCATGTGAGGCAGCATGGAGGAGAATGAGCTGGAAGAAGTAAAAAAACCCAAAAAACTGGAGGATTCAACTGAAACACTTTAGGGCAAGGGTAAGTGAAAACACAAAATAGCAGCTGTTGGGTAGAAATACCCTTTAACACAACACAATTTCAAATTTCTCCTGCAAACAAAGCTGATGCTCTCTATTTAGGAATTGGGAAAGTGCTGTTCAGAGACCCCTGACATACCAGAAGCTTAGAAGCTCTGTGTTAAAGGAGAGCCAGAGATGTGTTCAGGTCAGGATGCTGAGTGAAGAACCTCTCCAGAGACACCTAACATGGAGCTGGTTGCAGCTTGTTTCCCCCATAGTTACAGTCGAGGCTTTAAGGATGGGAGCCACATGCTCATCAGCTCAAAGTGTGCAATCCATGCCAGCTTTTCCAAACTGTGTGGATGTTCTGAGGTTAGTAGGATATAATTTACAGAATCATGGGGAATGCAGTTGAGCCTTACATTTTACGGTATATTTCACCTGAGCATATAAAAGCAGTTTGCAAGAGAATATTTTTGTTGTACTCAGAAAAAGGGGAAAATGAGGAATTTTTCCTGGAGCGTGTTAAAGGGAACATTAGAACTAAAGCTTTTGTTCTTGAGTCTTCTAAATGCAGATAATAATCGCTGAATGCAGATTGGGTGAGTAGTCTTTTGTTTTAGCTGAAGGTTGTGTGCTATTTATCCCTTTTCCCACCCTGTGAGCCCTTCTCTGGTCATGCTCTTTGACACAGCTGAATCTGTGACTGCAGACTGTGAGCCTTGCAGCAAAGATGTCAGAAAAGCCCAAGAGCAGTGCTGTCATTTGATGGTGGAAGTTAGTGTGGCCTGACACAATGCTTGTATCAGAAATGTCTATATTCAGCTGTTCACCAAACAGGAGACTTAGGGTATAGCTGTATTTTGAGTCTCATTCATTGTATCTTACTGCAAGATACGTGGTAGAAAGACACCTATGCAAGAAAACCTCTCTGGCAGATCTAAATGTGGAATTGGAGGGCGAACAAATTTATACATAATTTTTTCCATGTTGTGTGTTTTAATTTTGTCTAGTCTGTTGTAGCCTTCAGATTTTCCAGGTGCTACTGTTAATGAAGGCTAGTAGAGCTGGGTAAAACTTTTACCCAGGTAGTCTGAATTTACTGAACTTTCTCATCCTAATTTTGGTACTGTTACTGTTCTCTGTTTCTGTCATTCTGAAAAATGCTCCTGTATTGCCTAATAGGGAACAGATTTTTTTTGTTCTAATTTGCAGTGCCTGGTTTATGAAAGTTGTCTTTAATTTCCTCCATCAATTTTATATGGGACTATGTGTAAAGTAGCATCATAGAATTGGATTATATGAGTGCCAAAGACAGTTTTTGCTGGAAAGCAGTAGTCCAAAACTAGTTCTAGCTGCCTTTATTTAGACTTAATCCATGCAAAACTGGTCCGTCAGAGCTGGTATTTACCAGCATCCCTGAAACTATAGGGACAGAGTGTTGCCTTTGTTTGCTTGTCTTTCATTGCTCAGTTCACTTAAGTAGCTTTTGTCTCTGAGAAACCAAAGAAATTAAATGAAGGATTAAAGTGTTCTTTTTGTAGAACATTCAGAGTTCATACCATGTAGCTATTACAGAGAAATCTGCAGAAATTATTTTGATTCTGAGTTGCAAATGTCTTAAGACTGATAAAGCCTAGTTAAAAACTGCACACTGGAATTTGTTAGTTCATTCATCAATCTTACAAATTAGCATTGCTAGTAAACAGTTTGCTTGCAGCTTCATGGGATCTAGCAGGTTTTTATAAAATGCACACTCTGTTTGAGGCATTGCTAAATAATAATGTATGGATTTTAAATCCCTACTACAACTAATATTCACAAGTCAGCCTTATCATGGCTACATGTTTGTCAGCAAAAAAGCAGATGGATAAAACTTTCTGCAGCAAGGGCTGATTAGGCCCAGAAGAAGGATTCTCTTTCAAGCTCCTCTGCTTGAAAGAGATAATTCTCTACACATTCTCCGCTATGTGTACAGAATAAAGGGGGACTGTGGGGTGTATACAGCAAGATTGTAGGATGGAGTATGTTTAAATACTTGCCTGCCCTCATTCACTAAAGGTTTCTAGAGGAAATCTGTCTTTAACATGCATGCTTCTGCTTCCCACCAGCACATCTGAGGTGCTCATATTGTACCTACATTGTCAGGAGCCAGGCAGAAAGTATGGTGGCAAGAAAATCTTTGCCAGTATTAGAAGTTGTATTTACTTAAAAATATCCTAGGAGAGGTATCTGGTACATCTGTTTTCAAATAAAATGTGTTTAAATTATGGAAGCCTGATTGGGAGACAGGCATTTCTGATGTTAATCTGTAAGAAAAATAATTTCTGCAGATACTGATGAAAATTGTTACAGAGCAAACAACTATTAGGTGATTTGTGAGGAAAGTTGTGTATACTTTGATTTCAAGTATGCCTCTAAAATACTGGTTTCTAGTATTTGATCCCTTTCACTCCTCAAATTCCAACCCAAATTTTACTTTGTTCTTGTTAGAATTTGAGTAATGTGGAAATGGGAAGTATATTTTTCATACAGATACTTTTATTGCACTACCTTTGCTTCCTGAATCAAATAGTATTTTGATTTTTTAAGCTACCTCTTTTATGATGAGCTTTTTTTTGTCACTTTGATTTTGAGGAAATTACAAAATATTTCCTTTTTTTATTTATGTGGGAATCCATTACTTAGTCCTCAAGTCCTCCTTCCCTTTTAAAGGTTTTGTCAAAGGCCTTTTAAATTTAGTTAAAATATTTAAAACTTCTGAGGAACTTCATATTTATGCAGTTAGATCATGACTTTTCTGTATATGTTTTTTGTCTTTAAAAGGGACAAAAAGCCCTTAATTTTGTACTAATGTCAGCTGAAGGCACGACTTTTCAGTGGCAGTAGATTTAGAGTCGGGGGGCTTTAATCAATTTAATTTATTGCCAGTTAGAGTTTTGTTACTGCTTTGGTGTTGGAATTAAAAATAATCATAACACTTAAGGAAAATACTGCTGCTTTTCTCCAGACACTGATCTTCCTTCTCTCTACCCATGCCATCCACCAATTCCTTGGCTGCTTGTCATGCTCAGTCCCTTCAGCAAGGCAACAGGCAGCACAGGAGACTGGGATCAGTCTGTTGTGCTTCTATTTATTCACTGCTCTTTGTTCCATGTTCTGCTGCTCTCTTGTGGGTTTCACCACCAGCCACAGTCCATTTAGAGTTGTAGCTCCTTTTGAGCCTACTCTTGGCCTCTGCTCAGGCTGATTTTCCTTTGATGTTTCTCCTGCTCAGCTGTCTCTCAGTTTCTCTTTTGCTGGTGTGGGCTTACCCTTTTTTCCTCATCCTGTTGTAGCACTGTAATGTCTTTTCCTTGGTATTTACAGCCCTGTCTTAAACATTCTTTTGTCCAAGTGCCATCAGCTCCTCTGGCAGTGTTGGAGTGCGGTGGGTCAGTGCTCGCTGGGCCCAAGAGGCAGTGGGCACTACCTGAAGCACAGGAGGATCCATCTGAGCGTAGGGAAGCACCTTTTTAATGTCAGGGAGATGGAGCACTGGCACAGGTTGCCTGGAGAGGTTGTGGAGTTTCTCAGTGTGTGCAGATACGCAGGAGTCACTGGGACATGCTCCTAGGCAGTCTGCTTTAGTAGTTGGCTCTGCATGAGCAGGGAGGTTGGGCCAGGGGACCTCCAGAGGAGGTGCCACCTTCCATCCTCAGCCGCCCTGTGAGTGCCATGCCGGCTGCTGCGGAGCTGTCTGGGAGCAGCACGGGCAGTCCCTGGCACCGTCCCTCACAGGGACTCTCTGCACCCCCTCTGCCCAAGCCCTGGCAGCCCTGCTCAAACACCACTGCACAGGGTTTTCTTGCGAGTCAGGTCCTTGGCCTGGGCTGACAGGTGGCTGGTACTGCGTTGCCTTTCTGTGCTGGTGTTGTCTTAGGTCAAGTAACTGAAACTCCTAAGGACATGAACAGACATTTATAGCCAAGCTCTGTCTGTATGCATTTATATCCTTGCTGATTTCAGAAGACAGAACTTAGACCTCCTCTTGACCAGCGGGGTGAAATACTTTTTTGCTGCTCCACCTTTCATCATCATGAAAACAAATCTTTGTGTAGTCTTTATATCCTGTAGACTTTTCCATTGTTTTCTCATTCCTGCTTAATTTGAACTAGCAATCAAAAGTCATTGCCAGGTGAGAGCTGAGTAACAGGAAATTGGTAACGGGGGCAGGGGGAGCAGATCCAATTAAAAAATAAAGTTGTATATGGTTGATGTGTGTACTGTTAAATATTTAATTTGGATTAATGGAATACTGAGTGTTATGAGCCTTCCCATGTTAAAATGAGGACTGATATATTTCAGAAGTACTTTGTCTTCTTTAACTGTATTGGTGTGCTGTTGTTAACTCAGAGCTGTACTGCTGGAAAGTCTGTTTGTAGAATACTTCATCTGAGAAGTCACAACTAAAGACAGCATAAGCTTTTCCACAGTAGACCTTTTATGGTGATATATTCATATGTTCTGTGAACAGTTGTTGGATCCATCTTTTTAAGATGTTCTTTGCCATAGGTGAGGGGCCATAACAAATATTGAAATATTCAGAATAATTGCACTTACCTATTCTGTTTTCTTAGTGTATTTCCTATGCATACTGCCTTACCTGTATGTATTGTACTTCATTGGAGGCATGAAAAGTAAATATCAGGTTCTTAATTTACAACGTGTTAATGAGTTTTTAAAATAACTCTGTAATACTAAATATTTTCCAGTGATCTGTCTACTAAGAGAGGGTGATGATGAGTAAGCCCAGGTGAATTTAGTCAAAGAGTTAATATTGGTTGTCTTTAGTTTCACTTTTAATTTCTGAATTATTTCAATAATTTTAAATACATATCTTCCTTTAAGAATTTTGTATAGGCTAACCTATGTTAGTAAGCCAACTTTTAGATGATTTGTAACAGCTCTGATACTGCCTTTGACTCGTACAGTTCATCCAATGTCTTTGTAACTTATTTTGTGCCTTTTCTTCCCCTTACACAAAATGTCTCAATAAAAACAAGTTCTTTTGCAACACTGCAAACCTATTTTATTGTACTGCTTTTTTTTACTTGCCTGACCCTTTTGTTTTGTTTTCTGGAGGGACAAGAAACTCTCAGAATAGAATAGATATTTCTAATGGACTCTGCAGAAGAAAATTGACAAGGTGGAAAGCAGGTCATTTTGGAAAGGCAGTGCTACAAAGCGCCTGGGAAACTGGGACTGTCAGTACTAATCAATATATTCCACCATATCTATCACAAATCATTTCTAACAAAAACTGGCACCAGTGGAATGTGAGAATCAATTTACTACTGGCTTCAGTTGTGCTGATTGATGTTGAAAGACTGGAAACACTTTGGGGGGTTTAGCATAGTGAAATGTCTGTGGTGGTGTTACTAACATGCACTGGGGGAGTTCCCATGAGCTCTAGTTGTCCCTTAAACACCCCTTCTTAAAGTGGATGCAAATGCACAAGGCCATAGTCCCTGTCCTCAGTGCTCCTGCCAAAACATTTCGTCAGGGAATGGCAAAATTTGAGCATTTGTCTTCATTACCTGGCAATGAGGTGATAAATAGCTTGACTGCATTTCCTGTCCCCTGTCCAGTGGCAAAGAAAATATTGTCAGAATCTGGAAAAAGTGACTGTAGGGGAATAGGGATCAGTGCTCTGTTCTAAGCTGCCGTTTGATTGTTTGCTCTGCCAGCCCTTTGTTAGAGAGCAGTTCATGGAGTCCCTGGTAGCAGAAACTGAATAGCCCTGTGCTCCTGTGAATGCTGTTCTTCCCTCCTGCACCAAACTGGTCCTCTCCCACCAGATGACTGTTAGCATTATTCACCTCATTTTCCATTTGAAGCACATCTGCTCATTTCCCTCCCTCCATGAAAACCCAAGGAGCAGAGAGATGGCTTGCTCCTTCATGCAGGAGCCTGGCCAAGCAACTTGCTCTGCATATTCCCAGTGGTTTTATTTCATGATTGTTTCTCCTCCCCCACTCTGGTTTTCAGTGCCCTTAATCTGCATTTAACTAGTTCTAGCCCTGGATATCTGTCCCGTGGCCTGTCACTGCCTGGAGCAGATACAGCACAAACGATTGACCCTCTCCCTTTGGCAGTTTGGCTTTGGCTGCACAAAACAGCCAATAAAGGGGAAAGGGCTGGGTAGCTGATTATGGGAATTAGCTTGATGCTGTATAGTTTTATGGGTTTGAGATAAAGGAGGAAATGTTTGCTTGAGAATTAAATTGCTTTCTCTCTTTATTTCTCCTGCTACCTGCTCTTCAGATGACAAATTTTCAGAAGTTATGGACTAAAAGAATAGCATATGTATTAGTCAGACATAGCTTGGACTGGAGGCTGTTAGCTTGTCTTCCAGTGGCTGAAGCTGGAGTGTGTAGCTTTCAGGTCATTATGTGATCTGTCTAGAAACTCTGAAAATACTTGACTGAAGCCTCTGTAGAGATTCTGACAAGGCTTGTTCTCACTAGTTGCTGATTATCTTGGTCTGCTTTGCGGTACATATATCATACTTCTAATAAAAGCAAATAATTTCTCACTTCTGCTGGTGCTCTCATTGTACGCTAATTGTTCCCACATGGCAATTGTTTCCCTCTGGGCCCATGCATTGCAGAGTCCCAGTGACTCTCCTCTCCTACTTTCTCCCCACACAAAGCATGTAGCTGTCTGGACCTTCCCCTGTGTTTTTCTTGAGACACTTCTACAGGTATATTGGCAAAATCTTCCTTTAATCCCTACTGCTTCTTCAGCTTTTCCTTTCCATCCTCTCCACAGTGCCACATTAGCCCTGGGACACAACACCATGTCCAAGTTGACATATCCTAAGGATCACCTGGGAAGTTTGGGATCTTTGACCTTTGTGTGTAGGGTGACAAGCTGAGGAGTTTGATCAGACAGCTTTGACAGTGGATTGGCAATACTGCTAACCAAGATCATACAGAAACACATCTGCTTTTCATGTGGTTCAGACAGAATGTGATTGTCAGCTGTCTTCACTCTGTTGGGGGCTTTTTGTGGGCTTTTGTTTGGTTTGGGTGGGAGGGGATGGGGTTTTTTGCTTCATTATTGTTGGGGTTTTTCTGAAGTTTTCTTTGTTTAGTTTAGCTTTTTTTTAAATCTCGCTCTCCTCCCACACAAGTATTTATTCCAGCACTCTAAAATAGCTCCTGAAGGCCAGGCTTTTTTGGGCTTGGAGGCCCTTCTCAGTTTCCTTGCTGAAGCAGGCCTGTTTGTTCTGCAGTAACTGTATTTTGATAAAGAAAAGGCAATAGATCTTAGGGGTGTGTACCTGTCATTGGCCTATGATATATGAGACCTAGTTTCTAGCTCTGGCTCCAGTGAACTCTTGTACATTTTTTATTAGTCAGTGGCTGGATGAAGCACATAAACAGGGATGCCAGTCTTAGTCTTCTTTCTCCCAAGTGAGTTTGTGTTGGAGTGACTGTTCTCACTTAGCACTAGTAATTTACTCAATTTACTTCAAACTGCTGTGGACTCAAGCAATAAGTTCTGAATCGGGTCAATTTGGACACAACAGCAAAGTGTAAAAATAATACAAGCTAACATTGTGTTCTGAGAGCAGTCATGAAAAAAAAATACCAGCTCCTGGAAATGCAGTGAATTGAGTCTCATTCAGCCCCTCTTGTTGACAGAGCATCATTGCAAGCATGCTTCTTGGTTTGGCTCTTTTAAATCTTGCACTTGGTCTCTCTGTCCCAAGTTACTGTGCCCCTAAATTTAAAATCCTTTTTTTGACTCCTGAAAATAACCAGCAAACCTGTGCTGACGTCAAAAGTGAGGCAGCTTTTTCTCACCTTAAAAGACTTCCAGTGCTAAAAGTTTTCCCAGTTGCACTGTGCTCTGCCAAACATGTTTCTTCCAGATGCTGTTTTTCTAACCCTGTGTTTAAATCAGTGGTATCAAGTATTTCCTTTTCAGCATGCAGGCTATTTACCTAGGCATATAATAAAGATGCTGGAAGGCTGTCATTTTTGTGGATGTTGGCTGCAGGTAGGTTTTCAAGATGGTGAGACATCCTGATTGGAACAGTAGAACAGTAGTTGTAGTTTAGTGATGGATAAAACATAGAGGAAAACTATCCTTAGAAATGGTCTAGTGAAATATTTTATGTTTAAATTATGATGCATTGAACTTCCACTATTTCAGTGAACTTTCAGAGGACAGTACATGGATTCAGAACTCAAAATGCCAGTTTTCCTGTCCCGCATCTCAGTAAACTCTCCTGGAAGCCTCAGAGCTGATGCAGTCAGGACTCCCAGCTTCCTGCCTCTCCTGCCACCTTCTGAGCTAACCATTTTAAACTTGGAAATTTCCAGACCCTGAACACATCACCACACTGTGTCCCAGCAATGTTGGCAATATTAGAAGCACTGCTATGTGATTTATATTTGCTGCCCAGTGGCTTGATGCTTAATAGCAGCTGCAAAATGGACTGGATTCTGATGAATTTCCTAGTTGAGGCTGAGTGGGTAGCAGCATTAGAATCTCAGCATTTTTCAGAATTTCCCACATGCTCAGCTGGTGATCACTCTCTCTGGAAATACTATACTGCAGCCTGAAAACATTCAGGTTGAAAATAATTTGGGGTTTCAAATCTCTTCCCAGATTAAGAGAACTAATTTCTACTGCGTTTTTCTGACGTGTCTGGTATGACCACGAATGGAAAAAAGATATCAGGTTTTATAAATGACTGGACCTGATCCAATCCTGTGCTTAGTTTGGAAAGGATGTAAACCTTTAACTTGCATGATACAAAGTGCGGATCCGAGGCTAATGTGAGAATGGGTGGCAGTGAGAACAAGCAGCATAAGCATTCGGAGCATTTTTAGCCTGCCAAGTATTGATTGGTAATGGGAGAGAATGAGTGAAGAAGCATTTCAATTTGGCACCCATATGTGATTCTGGTGCTGTCACAGTGAATTAGCAGGACTTTCTTTTCCCTCTAGTCCATCCCATGCTTTTGTCATTGAAGTATCCCCTTTGCTCATATCAACTTGTTAAAAGACAAAGTGGAAGAAAACCAAATAAATTCCCAGAACTTTTGCCCCCAAAAAGCCTGATTATGTTATGCTGCTATCCTCTGAATGGAGGCTGAACAGTACTAACGACTGTCACAGCATAAATGTTATAGGGGATTCAAGCTACAATTACTCATTTTGCACAGTCACTTAATCCACTAATGGGGAGAAATGGGACAACAGTTTAAGAAGGCAAGAGAACTGTCAGAGATTATTAAATCTGTTGGGATCATTTGGTTTAGTGGTCTGTCTTGACCCAAGTACATGGTTCAGCTAATGCAACAGACTTAATGCCTCCGGTAATTAGAGCAAGAAGAGATGGGTCATCATTAGCAACTAGAAATTCAGGGTTGTATTTCATCTGGAAGGCAGCATCTTCAACAGGGCTTATTTGTTGCCACTGCATATCATCTGTGAGTCACAAGTAGTACATTGGTCTGACTCATTTGTATGATTTAGCAGAGGCTTTTTAATACATGCTCACTGTTCCGTATGAATAGTTTTTCTAAATAGTTGCCCAACAGAAAAAGACAATATTGGACAACCCTGTGCAGTTAATACTGCTGCTCTTATTTACAAGATGTTGGTGATTTCTTTATTGTTGTGCAATTCACAGTTCATATTACTTTTGATTGTAGGTTTGAAATGTCTTTGTCATATCTGTGAAACTGAAGAGTGAAGAAAGGAAAGCCAAGCAAGCATAGAAAGCATCAGTAATTGGCATCTTCACAACATACAAGAGCCAATCTAATACCATTCAAGGCATATATTCACAGAATACTTTCACAAGCGTTTCACAGATCCAAAATCATATTCAGTCCTGCATATTGCCAACAGCATGAATGAAAATTATATACCACAGATTCAGTGGTTTTGCAGATACTAGGAAATTTCTAAATCCTCTTCAAAGAGTACTGCTACGTAAATGAAGATGCAGGTACAAAGGAAATTATCCACAATCTGAACTCCATTATAAGGTACTATGAAA